ATTAATGTCAATTTAACTTAACATATTAAGCAGTAATTAGTACCTATATAAAATTCTTTTTCATATATGAATTTTTTAAATATGTACATTTTGCACTTTTAGTTGTCATTAATTTAATATACTTATGCTTTTTACTGTATTTATAACAATCTTTAGCAATGCATAATTTATATTAACAGAATCTTCTATCATTAACACAAATAACAATCAATATACAACGTCTGCATTTACAGTTTCGCTTACATATCAATTTTATTATGTTTGCAGTAATTATTGCCACTGTTCTTCAACAATTATCATCGTCTTTAATGTCATGATTAACGCCTTTGCTTTTTCCTTTTCTCACGTTATTATTGCGTTCAGTACATTGTTTCTTTCTCCTCAACATTGTTGACAATATCTCGCTTATCGTTTTTCTTTTTGCTTTTATTATTAATATTACACAATTCGAGTTCAATTTTATTTAATCTCCGTAAAAAATGAACACTGTGTACAAAAAGTCCACTTCAACATTAATTTCTTACATTTTTTACATTTTTGAGATACCTGTATTTATTATGCAATAATAAAATTCCTTAATCAATCATGAAACCATTAAAAAAGTTTTAAAACCAGTGAATTTTATTTTATTGACATTTGACATATTACATATTACAACGCTACATTTTTTCTAGTAGTAATCTATATACATATAGTAATTATTGCTTGCGAGTTTTCAAATCAATATGAAGAACTGCAATTACTAACCTTTTCTCACAGAGATTTACCAATATTCAAAAATAATTTCCATATTGTTACAATATAAAATAAGAATCACTATTCTTTTGGTATTCCTTCACTCAGTATGCCATTCTAATCGCTTTCGACGTCTTACGTATTTTCAGCTTTTCATAGAAACGCAAAGAAGCATGATTTACGACGGTGCTGCCAAACGATGGCTTTTTGTGATAAATTTACCGCAGCGCCCGCCATAAATCTCGAGTAACGAATGAATCCTGCGCAAAGAACGAACGAACACGGTGTCGGATAACCATATTCAGGGAAGATGACGAGATTTCGAATAATTCCTGAGAATCGCGACTTATTGTAAGAGCAATCGAGGTAAAAGCGATCGTAAGGTCGACGAAGCATCGATATATAGAGAATGGAAAATAATAAACGGCAATGAAGAAATCCAGAGAGAAAAAAAAGCAAGGAAAATTATAGAGGATAGTGTAAAAAGAATATCTGCATATGTCAATAGAATTTACATATGAGTTTGTCAGTGAGATTTGCTGAATGTTAATTCCTAACGATTAATCAAGTGGCGTCAAAATTGCGATGGAATGAAAAGTGAAACGAGGAATCTTTCTATTTACGCAAATGTCATGAGCAATCTTTATACGATTTGATTGAGACTTTATATATATAAGGTGATAAGAAAGAAAAGTAAAATATTGGTGACTTAAAATACGTGGAAGTATTAAATGTTTAATTACCATGTACCCTTGTTCATTAGTCGACTTCTTAATAAGTAGACACATAGCTGACTAAATTAATGGACTAATGTGTAATCCGAAATTGTATAATAAATATCATTTATAGGTTACAATTAAACAAAAAAAAAAAAAAATATGTAATATTATTTATATATAACATCTACATGTTATATAAAGATATCCAAAGATCAGAATTAATTTTGCCAATATATTTTATAAGTATCAGTAAGATTAAAATATCATATAACAAAAAATTCTTAAAATTATTGAAAAATTATTTATGTACAGGAATTGGAATGGATTATTGCTATAATAATAAATGTAAAATAAAAAATCTAATTTAGGACTTTTTTTTTTTTAAACTTTATACAGAAATAATTTAAGGTTTCTTTTTTTTAACATTTATTACAGTTTTAATAATTTTAATGTTCATAATCCATTTTATGTAAAATTTTTTTTAAGATAATATTGACACATTGGATGTTGAGGAATTAAATAACTAAATAACTGAAGAATGATAACATTTTTATAAAAACACTATGTATCTTAAGATAAAATTTTAATAAGAGATTATACAATCTTTTTAAAAAAACTTACTTTTATTTTACATTTTGAGTTATCTGTATTTTTACGTTCAAAACATTTTATCACGAAATTGAATTATATTAATTAAGCTATAAAAAATTAAAAGGATTTGAAATTCATATAATATCACGCACAATCTCTTTAATTTAGAATAACATATGTATGGCGACTATCAAACAAGCTCTAAGTACTTATTAATAAAATTAATTAGGAAATTTTGCACTTAAAATATTCATGCGTTTAAAGAAAATTTTTTTCGAATTTTTTTTATAGAAACTTTTTATTATTTTATTATTATTAGAACAATAAAAATATCTAAATTATCTAAAATAAAAATATAATTCTATTTAAATAGCCTTGATAATTTCAACGAAAAATAGCATTAAAAACACATGCACTATATTTATTTCTTCAAATTTCCTTTTATACATTTTCTTATATTTTTAAACTCAAATACGTAATTTATTTCCTGTCACTTACTCTTTACGTTAGATATCCAAATTAGATGATCCAAGAGAACCTATCTACTTTTAGTTTCACTCTTTTTAGAATATTAGAAAAATAAATTTCATTCTTTTGACAACACGGTTTATACTCTTCACTTCCGATAAAAATATAACAAAAAAATTCACTATCGTTTACGTAAATAATGAGAGTTTAATGGCAACGTAACATATACAATGTAAATTACATCTATTTTTCTTTTTCTTTTTCACTTTTATATGACCTATTCTTCTCTCACTTTCTCTATATCTTTTCTCTCTCTCTCTCTTACACTCACTCGCATTCTCTCTTTTTAGGTACATATACAAAGTACAGTACACAGTCATTACAAAAAAGCAACACGTTTCTCTCCTACCTCGTTAGTTTCTTTTTTCCGCTTATTATATCCGTATCTGACTTAATTTCTTTTTGCCGATATTGTTTTACAAGATTTTTACACGAGCTTCCTTTTTCTACACATTATCAACGCAATTATTCATCCTTTGAATTTCTACATCAGCCAAGTATATATTGCACTATCGTATTAACGCGCCCTGTCTTTACATCGAATCATTAAAGAGGCTGCTTAGTTTTACGAGTTCGAAAAAATAAAAAATTGATTATTAATTTATACGTTATAATAGTGAAAATGTCTTTATAACCTTCATCGTTAATGTTTAAACAATGAGCTATTTTTCTTCTTTACAGAAACATGTTAACTTCAAACTACAATCACTTTGTTAGTAATGAAAATATTTATTTTGTAGTTTATGTAGTTGCAAATTGCAGTAAATGCTTGTTTTTTGTTCTAGGTCTATTTGGAAGAAATAAGTAAACAAAAATAAATAAAATAATAATATAATATAACAAAATTAATTATATAATAATATTACATATAAACATGTTTTTTTAATAATAAATATGTGAAAACAATTCTTAAAATATGCCTAATGTTCAGTCTAATACATATAGAGCAGCCCCTTTAAATTAAATTAAATTTTGAAACTGCTTCGATTTTTTAATTAAATTTTTTCCAACTTATTTACATTAACAGTCAGTTTCATTTTCAGACATATGGATATTTATTACTTATTTATCAATAAGGAATTAAAAGAAATAACATTTACAAAGAGAAACTGAATTTAAAGTACAATACACACACAAAAAAAGAAAAAAAAAAACAGTTCTACTTAGTTATTCTAATTGATTTCTAAGAAATATAAATTATTTTAAACTAAAATTGATAAACATAATAATTGATTTTAAAATGCAGAATTATACATATTTTATCATTATATGTTATGTAATTTATATGAAATCTATATAAATAAATATAAAACTTCAATTTCTCAAATCGGAATCCTGTTAATTTAACACATTTTTCTTTAAATGTTTCTTGCAGAATAACTTCTATGAAATATCTTTTCTACAATATGTTTCACATACACAAAGTAACTTTGATGATCTATTGGGTTTATTATTTTCCTTAATAGACCCTCACTTTTGTACTTCAACAAATCTTAAATTACACTTTAATAGTGATTTGTTGACCTACTAAAACTTTCTCTTGACCTACAAACATTAATAATATCACCTTTTAACCTCGAACCTCGAAATATAAACTTCACTTATAAATATCTTAAAAATAAAGGCCTATTAAAGAAATCCTTGAGAATCGTATTATGCTAATTTTAAATCTTTAAATCTTATTGTAATGTAATTTTAAAAGAATACGGTCGTCTTCCTCGGTTTCATCTTATATTTTTCTTGTTTTTCATTTTTAACACAGACAGGGTCACCGTTACGACGGTATGAACGCAACTATGCAAGTATTATGTATTAACAGTTCATAAAAAGTTCCTCGCAGATCGCTCGATAAGCAATTAATAGGAAATAGTTTTATTATACACAGTGGACAGACTAGACCAAGTTCAGACGTCTTGTCGTGATAATTATTCTTAGATTTATACTTCGACAATATTTAATTCGAACTGCTTTCTTCAAAGCTAGTATGATTAATTATCTTTTTCTTTCTTTTTATTTAAGAAAAGGATTTTTATATTGTAACAATCGTACTTCAAGGCTCCTTTACAATTGTTATTTGTTAAGAATGAATGACAGTAAAAAACTATAAAATACGGTCGTGCTTTCGATACAGTCTCCACCATTTGTCGTGTACAGTTTCGTGTACTATCGTAATTATACGTTAAACGACGGTGCAGTTTTTTTTAAACTTATTAAAAATATACGATAAACTTTATACAACGTACCATAAATAAGTATAATAAACTGTTACGCGATATAATTTCGCCATAAAGTTAAAAATTATATATCGGTATTTATAAATCGATGATTTTATATTCGGGTATTCCTTTTTTTTTTGCTTTTTTCACATTATTTTTCATTTTAACACTCTATGAGTGTAACATTTGAAGTTATATTGTTGAAGCGCGAAATAAAGAAGTTAGATATTAATTGAATTAAAGGAATGTGTTAATTAAATCTGAATCACGAGATTAAGAAAGACGCTTTTTAAAAAATACGTGCCATGTCGATGGCAATAAAATATTAATAAAATAATTCGTTTTTTATCTAATGCATTTTTTAATCACCACATCGTGTATGTGCCTACATAATAAGCTTACACGGTAAGTTTCGAATGCAAAACTTCCATCAAAAACCCAGTATCTTTGGCTACTTCGGGTATGTTTATTTAAATAATTATAATATAGTAATATTGTATAGCTTGAGTTACAGTACAGGATGAATTTGAAACATGTAGCATCCTTTTACATCATGTGCTGCCCATTTGGCGGAGCATACTGAGGTTGTTGGCTTACCGGAGGTCCTGTTGGTCCTGGTGGACCATATGGTACTGGCACAGGACCAGTTTGAGGTGGATATCTGTTGCATATTATTAAGTGCTTCTTTAGCTATATTTTTTTATTATATATGTTTTTATTAACCCCTTATGTGACCAGTCAGTGACTGTCAAAGGTTGATATGATTCATTCAAAAAAGTACAAGATGATGAAAAATGATTCATTCAAAGAAACAAACGATGGAAATGATAAAAAATTAGTAAAAAGATACGTGGTTATACTGTAAAAACTGTGAAGTTGTATTATGTATATTTCTTGTTTTAAAATATATCATGTCCAATTAAATTTTTAGACATTTTGTAATTGAACATCATGTATGTATCTATAAACTTAATTCTTTTCATTTATTGTGCAATAAAATATTATTACTTACTTCCCATGATTACTCCTTTTATTTTAATATAAATTTAGCTAATTTTTTTTAAAAAGAGGGAAAGATATTTTTTAGATGATTTTTTAATTTTATTGGTCACGCAAGAGGTTATATTTTGCCTTATTCCTTAAATGTTTTGCATACACACTATGTTATTTTGTTTTTAAAGACTTGTTATTTCCTCGTATAATATACTTTATTAAAAAAAATAATTTTGAAAGCTCAATATGTACATATTATATATATGCTGAATAAATATACTATAAAGGAATCTTCTAAATAGCTTATATCATATTTATATTAACACATACCCTTGATGGGGATAAGGGAGAGTACTTTGTTCTGGCATTGGTGGACCTTGAGGATGTCCTGGGGGATGTTGATGCGGTGGACCTGCTGGTTGCACGTGAAAATGTGGTAGTGCCATGTTTGGCATGCTTGCAGGCCCCATGTAGTCGCTAGTTGGAATTGTTGTATTATATGGTCCTGATGGACCACCTCCAATAGGAAAGGAAGTTTGATGTGGTGGAGGTACTCCATTAAATATCTGTCAAAAAAATTAAGATGTTTCATTATAACTGAAATAAAAATATTATTTATTGAAAAGAAATAAAAACGTGTACTAAATTCTTACATGTGGTGGTGGTGGTCCCTGATTTTGAAATTGATAAGGATTTATATGGGGTGGCATCTTAGGTAGAGTATAATTTGATGGCGTAGGCGGTGGAGGTTCTCGCATCAATGTGTGATATAAATTAAGAGCATCTACCAAATCAGAGCTCAATTGTGTTAGCTGTGCATGCCTCCTATCTACTTTTTCTAAAGCTGCATCTATCAAAGGTCCCATTGCAGTAACTTGTTCTGTAAAATATGATTTGAAATAAAAAATTTGATTATATAATATTTATCAAATGTATAAATAATACTGTAATACAAAGTATTATGCATAATACAAATATATTACCTTCTAAATCAAGCATTTCTTGTGGATCTGAAGTATCACATTGAGGATCAGCTTCATGTAATAAATGTAAAAGTCTATCCATTTTTCTTTCATCTATTTCAACTTCAACCACTTCTGGTTCCCTCTTTACTGTTTTCACTTCTACTTCTTCAGCAAATTGAACCATTTTTTTATTACTGTGTTCTAACTCTGTATGTAAATTCATATATAGTACTTACTTTTAACTAATACACAAATAATTTAAAATGTTATATATCTTACTTGTGAACTGTTCTGGTTCCATAGACAAATCTGCAGTAACAAAATTAGAGGGAAATAGTCCTTCTCCTGTTTGGTTACTGCCTTTCCACCAGTTTGGATCAGAATCATCCAAAATATTAACTAAAATTCAATTGATAATTGTAATTTGATCACTGCACAATACATTTATTATAGTTGCATTTTTTGTTTGTTTGTTGTTGTAATGAAAATGTAATTGTTTAAGAATAATTTGTAAAAAAATTCAAATCATACTTATTTCTCCAGCAAAAAATGTTAACTCATTATCTTCTGCTGCTTCAAAATCATATAGAGCACGGACCTTTCTGCCTTCAGAATTGCTCGAAGCACCAAGTGCAGAACTTACATTAGGGTATAAACTAGTGTATTTATTCGATGCTGGTGAACCATGAGAAGAGGATGCTTGGCTATGAGCTTTACTTTCCTTAAGTGAAAGTTCTATGGCTAGAAACAAAAAAAATTAATTTAATCTTAAAATTCTAGGAAAAAGGATATTAATTACTTAAGAATTTGAAGATACCCTTTGCTATATCTTCCTCTTCTTGTGAATCCGTTACTACATTTGGATCTTTACTTAGTACACTTGTACGTTTAGGCTAAAAATGCAAAATAAATTTATTGATTACAGCAGTTATTTACATTAAATTGTTTTTTATGATACTTCGATAAAAACAAAATAACTTCTACAAAGTAGTCTATTAATGTACATAAATATTTCCATGTGATTCAATGGAATAATTCATTTGATGAATGGTTACAGGAAAAACACAGCAGGACGTCAATAAGTGATAGTCTTATCTACTACTATTTAAATAAAAGAGTACATGCAAACCATACGTGTTTTGCAGTAAATAGGAATCTTATGTTTGAATTCAAATGCAAGAGAACTTACCGTGTCTGATGTAGAAGGAAAAGTATGACCTTCATTTTTAAGTTTGTTATATAAACTAGGAATTAAATTTAACTGGGGATCAGTTTTGAAATCATTTTCAGCCCACTTTTTTAAGAGTTTCTTCATTTTCTCAACAATCTGTGGCTCAGTATGATTAACAAGTTTTCTCAGATCATTCTCAAAGTCTCTTGATGCGATTTCTAAGTGAAATGTTTTTCCACAATTGATGACGCAAGCATCTAATAACTAAATTTAAATTGAATGAATATTGATTACACAATAATATAAAATTGTGTATAATTAAAAAGATATACTAACTGTTAATGCTTGCAGAACAATATGTGGATCTAGAGAATATAGTCTTTTAACAATTGATCGTAAACAATCCTTTGCATTTTGAGAAGAGGTTCCTACTTTGTCACAAATATCCAATATTTTCCCCCATTCTGTAGATATGTTCTTTTCACTGGTTGCCTTTTCTATTGCAAAAAGATTTGTCATAAAATATTATTATAACATACAATAAGTTTTTTATTCTTAATAAGTATTTTGTTAGATTACCTATAAGTAATCAATAAATGATAAAAATCTATTTCCTTTAACTTTTTATCTGTATAATTCAATTCCTTTATCAAAATAATTTGTAATTACAATTTGAATTAAAAATGCTACCAAACATTTAAATTACCTTTTAGATAATATATATTTAAAATAATTTTTTTTTATTCAATATAATTTGAAAACAATAATATAGTAATATCATTAAATATCAATTTCATATACATTCTTATAACAACAATTATCTTCCCGACAAGTTGCACAGATATTAAAAGCTGCTGCTATATCAAGCATTTCATAATACACATTAAAGAGAAATCTGACTCTGTACATATGCGAATTTCAAAAAGAACAGTTGAACAGAATTGCGGAATTTCTATGATTTAAGCAACGCGAATATTTCGTCACGTATAGTGCTTTTATCACGATGAATGATCATTTTCACAGACATAACGCAAATAATCAGTCAAGGTGATGCAAAAACGAGGTTGAAGTAATTCGTAAAATCTGGTGTCTTAATTGGAGGTCAAATGTCAACAACCGCTTAATGCATCTATCAAACGTGGAATTTCGATGTCGTATAAAAAGGAAAAAAATGAAGGAATCAAATGAATATAAGGAGAAACAATGAATAAGAATTGTCATAAGAAGAAAAATATTTTTTTTCCTGGGGTTAAGGAAACGAGATACAAGGCAGTCGTTATAAGTGAATTAAAGCTAGGGAGAAGTCTGCTACTCACCGACGTCAGCGTCGAAAGGCGAGGAAGTCTGGAAAAGGCCCATTTTCGCCGTAGATTCTTTGATCGATGTATGTTCAACAGTTACGTCCGTTACGCGCTGTCACGGAATCACGTTTCGTTTTTCTCTACGCATCCAGCTGATATTTACTTACAAACACGACACCGAATGACTAATAACATTCTAATCTACCATCGAGGGACATCTTTCTTTCGACCTGCCAAAAAACCTCGATACTATCGAACCATCTCGAGCGTAATGTCAAACTGGAGGTTTCGCGTTGTGAAATATATAATTAATCAATGACTTCAGTGCGCAAACACCAAGAATTCAGATAAACAATGCATACTTTGAAAATCTAAATACGCAAAAAGATTATAGCTACTGGTAATTTACGCAGTTCGTGCTTTTTCGAAGAAGACATTGAAATGAGCATTGACAATCGATACATCGTAAGCTGCTGTGGCGACACCACAGTCAACTTTACCGACTGAGATCGAAGGCGACGTCTAGCGGAGGTTAGAAATATACATGGATCTCATTGTTAGTATTAAACTGGACTATCGAAAAGGAATACGTAGTCAAAGACTGATCCCTTACGTTATATTATCTAGCAAGAAATCTATTTCAATTTTTGCCGCTTTGAGCTTCTTACTTGACAACCTCATTGATTTCTCTGCCATTGGTTGGTTAGTGGTGATGATATAGTGAACAAACGGGCACTTTATTACCGAGCGTATATATAATTTCGGTTTGATGATTCAGCTGAATCCAAATTTGCAAGAAGTTTTCGAAATGATTCCTATTGAAATTCGTTTTTTTTCAGCAGAATCTAAGCATAATATTTCGAGTCTTTTCTTAAATGGTTTTCTATATATATTTATCTTCTAGTGGAAGAAGCTTGATATGTACTTATTGCTTTTATAATTAAAAAAAAACAACAAAAGATGTAGATATTTGATAACGTTATTTCTATTTCTTTAACTTAACATCATCTCTCAAAGTCTCAGGTTCCAATGCATCCATTAAAAAATCTTCCTTGACGAAAACTAAAACTACTTCAAATCTCTATCATAAAAGATGACAAATGAAATGATGATGATGTTGAATTGAAAGATAACTTGGAAAAGTGGTTGGAAAAGAGAGAGAATGTGGATACTATGGAACTACTGGCTCAAGAAATAAAATATCTTTTGACTAATGTTGTGATTTAGAATCTGTTAGATATATCAGTACTAAACATTATAGGATCTGTTAATAAATGTATGTGCTTCAATAACTCGACCATTCTTACATAAGTTTAACTGTTTGTACATGTACTAGATATTGTTAATATCATCTAAACATCCATTATTTTATTAGGCATAAAAAAATATAGCATGCAATTAAAAAAGACAAAGGTGACTTTGATATCTCTAAAAACCCCTATCCATAAAAAAAATGATTACTTTTATATTACGGTTGTCTCCAAGCCATACAACTTTTGCTAACAAAGTTTTCCCATAACTCTGAAAATAATAGAGATATTCTAGGTAATTAAAGTTATTGAGTCACCTTGTATCGTCAGGGATAAAGAAGTAATAGGTGCTTTTATTACCTGTACATCTTTAATGCTTCATATAAGAACTAGACTTCATATTAGACTTAAAGACAGTCTGATAGATTTTGAGAAAAATTTGCAGAATAGGAAAATCATGTTTCTTTTAACATTGCAGGATGTTAAAACATTAGTGGGTTCTGTTCTAAAGGTTTCAAAATTAGATATTTTTCCTACAACTTTGCTTCAAATAACTCAAAGACTGTTTTTCATGTTACATTATATATAACGAAGTTTATTTTATTAAAATATAAATCATTATGTAGTTCGTTCATCCGATCGAGCTGATAGTGATATTGTAGCGGCTACATTGCTATGTCCGCTTCTGCCATCTGAGTACAATGTGTGAAATTATTTTATAAGAACTACGCTTTATCTATCGGCCGTAAAGTAGATATAATTTATTGTTCCAATATTATTTAATTTGTAATAAATGATAAGTTAACATTTTAAATTTATTATAAATTTGCTAAATTCTAAATCAAGAGAAATCAACATAGTTGAACGATGTTACTGAAATTGATTTAAATATATCTCTACCACATCACGCGATATCGCATTACAAATACATATCGAATTATAAATTACAAGTTACTATAGAAGGAATGCTTAGAAGCTATTATAATTTAAATCATAGTCATATCGAAATACTAAATGATTACTATAGTCGGTTACTATAGTATATTTAATATTATATTAATTACTTTAATACACTTATTGCATGTTTTTGGCATATAAATTAATATTAACAGATAAGCAGAATAAACGTATAGTCGATAGTACTGAAAAAATTACTATTGTGTAATAAAATTTTCTCGGATATAAATTGTAACTATTAAGTAAGATAATAAAAAACTATTAAGTATTAAGTAAGAGTTTGCCAGCTAGCAATTAAAATATTTTTTTCTTACATTCCTGTTCTTATTAATACTGTTTAATATACTTACTAGACATTAATGTTACTCAAGTTGCATATTCTAATATAACCTCATTTTTCAAACTGAAAGTTTTATTCAAATGCTATACAATATTTTTACTATCATATTTAATTCGATCTTTTCCATTTTCCACTATAGAAAACGTGAAAATAAGAACAAGGAGATGTGTAGATGATTGTGAAACGATTTCATGAAAAGATGTTGCTAGTTTACTGTAGTCTCACGAATAATTTTTGCACTCGTTGCAGACTCCCAAACCTTGAGAATAAACTGCATCATACCATTTCTGCATAATACACTGACAACCAAGGTGTCATCATATTTGTATGATTGCAATGAGTCACCTTTGTGCTTATTGGAAATTACCTTGACTTTTTGCTATAATTGTGAATTTTGATATTTGTCTGGATTTTTGGTTTCGCCTAGATATAAATAAATTAATTAAATTTCACGTGGTAAGCGATCTTTTCGTAATACATATACATATACCATTGGATATACATAGACAAATATAAAAATATTTTTGCATTATCATCATTTCAACAGTAAAGATAAAGAATGTGAAAGACAAGAAAAAGGAAATATTCAAGGATGAAGCAATGCAGATATCACGAAGTAATGACAAAAAAGGGAAAATAAAACGCAAAAAAAAAAAAAAAATAAAAGTGCAAAATAATCGAAGCATGGAAGCGGTTAATAAAATCCTTCAAATACTGTTCTATAAATCCAAATTTTGAAATTATTCGAGGAAGGAAAGTTAACGTAGTATGAAAAACATAAATAATATAATATTAGAAAAATGTTGTAGTAAGATTATTTGGCATCCAGCAGTTCTGTATTCAATACTTCGTCACACGTGAATCATTCATTTGCCACGTCGCTTAACCTAAGCTAAAATAGAAAGTAAAAGTTTATTTTAAATATAAAAATTTAAGCATCGATCAAGTAGTTTAATGCTAAAATTATAAACAATTGAAAAAGTGGAGTTAATCACTTTATTCTATAAACAGTTCACGTAACCCTGACCGGGGCACTATCCTAGAACGTCATTCCACAATAACAGCAATCAATTAATGCATTTGAGACCGATGACCCGGCATATGAATCATTTAACATCTCATTCGTGCAGTCGGTGACTCAGCATACAAGTCACGTATTGAAGTTTGTGATATGTATTCAGTTCCCAGGCAACAATTAGGAAAATCAAATTGCTGGAAGGGTGAATTTTAAAACGAAATATACAGCGTGTTGAAAAGGAAGCGGTCCAATTTTCTGGAGCTTATAATAATTATCGAAAAATACATTAATATAATATATGTAAAATAATATAATATTATGTAACATAATATAACATAATGTAACATAATGTAACATAATGTAACATAATGTAACATAATGTAACATAATGTAACATAATGTAACATAATGTAACATGATATTATATTATAATACTGATGTAATATTGACGCAATATATTATCGTAATTATTAGGATTATGGATAAAAAGAAATAACTATCTGTAACTATTTTATAATTATCTTTATTCTATCCCAAGGAAGGTATATCTTAAGTATTCTGACTGTTCGCGCAATAGTATTATTTATAGTATTATCTGTATTTTATAATTATCTTTATTCTATCCTGAAGAAAGTATGTCTTAAGTATTTTGGTTGTTCGCGTAATAGTATTATTTATTTCAGGAGAAACAGATAATCTATTTGTCCTGAGAGATTAATTTTTGTATATACGTTAAGACGTATCTTATTTTCAACAGTAATATATTACTATATCTTTCGATATATTATAATATATAATATAATATAATATATAATATATAATATATCGAAAGATATAGTAATATATTACGATAATATATTACGTCAATATTACATCAATATTATAATATATTATATTATATTACATTGTGTTATATGATGTTACATTATATAACACTATATTATATTATTTTATAGTATATCATATTCCAATTATAATATTTCTACTTTTATCTTTCAAGATATATTTATTATTTTTCACAATTGTTTTTCAGCGAAGTAAGTGGAGCTGTTTCAGATTTATTATTAAATGAAATAAAATGGCGAATTTGGTCATCAAAAAGTTAAATTTCGTAATTCCATAATCGTTCAATTCGTCTCAATATGATATTACTTCTCGAAAATAATAATTATTAATCAACGTGTAGTCCTTCATATTCGATACACTTTGATAATCGTAAAACAAATCAATTTATAGTTTCATTAAATGAACTCTATTTTATACTCTATTTTAGATATGAGAAAATATATGAAAAATGAATCTCTCGTATATGTAACTATCTTACGTAACCACAAGATATATTTATTGCTACAGTAAATATTTGTTATCACCTGGCACTTTTAGACGTAATGGTAACCGAAGGTGAAATCCTCGTAAAATTCCAAATTATACCTGTAACTGTACATGCTCTGTATCGGTATTAACAAAAGCTTCCGGGTGTATACCTCGTTCTTTTGATATCGACTGCATATATGTATGTACCAGTCGTGAAAGCCTCGAAGATTTCACTATCTATTTCCATTCAAATGTTTAAATATCACTTTCACTCATCGATATGGCTGCACGACATATGTATGTTAAATAAAACAGAGCAACAATTTGCTCGTGCACGTTTTGTAATTTTAACATAATCTAACATAATCCGGGACTTACATAATCGTCTCCTGCTGGACATTTAACCTGCTCTATAAATTAAATATGCAACGCTGGTGTAATTTATTTTTATCTAGAACGACCTACGGAAATTCTGCACGTAATTTATCGATAGTAATAAATAATTTATCGCATAATTTATTACTTTAAATGTGGAAAAC